TAACGAGCGTCAACGTCAAAGGTTTCGCAATAATGCACGCAAGAAGGGAATCGATCCTGCGTCACGATATCCAGTAGGCGGTTGTTCGTTACGAAGTTTTTTGCTCCCTTGATGAATCACAAGGAAGAATTTGTCATATATGTAACTATTTGTCATACATTATAGGTTTTGTGTTAGAAAATTGTTTCTGTAAAATTTGTTCGCAATTCATCGTAATTGCAGCCGAAAATTCTGCTGCTGAGTAAGTATGAAAAACAAATCGACAGTCGAGATTTCGCTGAACGGAGAGCTGTCTTCGAGAACGTATGTACTGTTCATTAAAGTAGCTTCTTTAAAAGCATTCCAACAGCATCTACAGAAATGATATTTGAGGGTTTAATCAAATACTGTCCATTGATCTGATAATTTTCGATTGATTCAGTATAAATTGAATAATTTTATTGGAACAAGAATACTTATGAGTGTATATGCTTTAATAACTCTTTCTCAAATTGTCGATAGTATTGTTTGTTTCGATGAGATGGTAGTTTTGCATGAAAAAGCGCACATTTGAGATATTTTGTGTGTGTGATATGAAGAAAGCTTTCATGATTCAGAAGAATGCATTTCCATGTTTTCCGAACGTTCCACCTCCACCAACAGTTTACGAGAAAGTTGTTGCGCCTGAGAGTGGAGTGAAGAAATCTCGAAAAAAGGTAACTCATTGGTATTGTTCATTCAGTTGATCATTGGGCTGACCAAATGATTTATCAATCAATCAATCAATCAATCAATTTGTCCTCAATTATTAAAAGCGAATGTTTATTTTGATCTTCGTATGAATGAATCATGAAACTTTCAACAACGGTTCAATCCATTCAGCCAGGTAAGAGAAAACTGACAATGTTTGAACTATACGAATTGTGCGATGCACTCTCTCCGACCAGTGCGCATCCGAAGGGAACAACACTCCGTGACGGTCAGGTGAGTCCACTTTTTAATTTCAGTGACAGAATTTCGTCATGAATTCGATACTGCCTACGATTTATGGAACGATCACGTGTAGGGAAGTGAAAAGTTTTAGTTGATTATGAAAATAACGTGAAGCAGAGCGATTTTTTAGTTTCATCGCTAGATCCTTTTTGAATTCTGAACTCTAACGGAATCGATGAACAATTTTGATTACTTTAATATTATCAATATTCAACACGACTTCGGTACTCCAGCTTCACGAAATGTTCGCATTCTATTCGAGACCATAACCATTAAAATGATTGCAAATCATTTTTAAATATAATCACAGCTAGTGCTGGACGAGAACGAAGACCCATCCGCTCAAATAATCGACGAGAACGATGAGGGAAAAGAATCAAGTGAAGGCGAAGAGGATTGAACCCATTGGATCGTATGCCTTCATTACCTTTACAATTAGCATTAAATGCGCAGAATGCTCTCCTATCGTAGACGATGAATGAAATTTGACAAACAAACAAGACGTACTAGCAAAATCTTCACTGTTCGTCTGTTAAATGCTAGATCAGTTGTGAATGAAGTAGTCAGTTGTGTACAGTCGCAATTAATATTCTCTCTTGAGATATACTGTTTTCAGGAACATTTATTCATGTTGCAATTGAAAGATGAACAACCTGACCATGCGATACCTTCTAAACGCCTCTTTCCGAGACGACCGTCAATGCTAAATAACTGCGCACTGTTTCACTTAACCATTCATATTCCGTCACTTAATCGTGTACCATATATCATACATTCTGAATTTCTCAACTACTCTCAATATTTTACTTTTGTGACTTTGTTTTGAAATTGAAATTTCTCAACTTGTGCCTCTGAAGTGAACTAATCCAAAATTCCAAACCATTTAAAAAGATTTTGCTATAATTTCATGAATAGATTGTTTAAGGGCTGAAATGAGACGACTTGTAATCCAATGAAATTACCTTCCTTTATACGAAACAATGTGATTGTGCATATGACTTTAATTACAAATTCATTCAAAAGATTTGAAAATACATTAACAGTGAATAAGTGATATGTATAAACGTACAATTGCGTAATAAACATTATTTGTCCTCAAACCTCAGCACCAAACTGCGAACAATCTCTATTACCAACTGAAATGAACAGATTCTCCAGAAACGATCTCATTACTGAAAAACTCGATCAATTTCCACAAAACTGATTTCTCCTAGCCAGTTTTTAATTTTTACGAAATGAGACCCACTGTTTAGAATGTTTTTTTGTTCAAGCAGTGAACCACCCAGTTTGATTATCTGCTCTGCGTCCATTCATTCGGTAAATCAATTATAACAAAAGGCAGAAATACTGAGCAAGATCATTCAACAACTGATCGTGAGACAATTCAATATCATTCAAAAGATTATTCGATATGCAATCAACTCGCACATTTAACTTCATATTAATTGACGGATCATTCAAGCTCGAAGAGAACACTTATTGCAACGAACGGGTTTCGAAACTATGACAGTTTAAGTGATCAACCTAAGAATTTTCGAAATGTGCTCAAGTTTCACTGATGTATTGTATAATAGACCACTTCTATTCGAACCTGAATGATTGCTTAACAATAAAACATTAAAATAATCAACATATCATACTTTCATCAAAACTAAAATTCTGCTCAATAACTTCTAAATTCTTCAAATTCACAATGAGTGCAGATTTGGTTTTTGCGAAACTCGGAATGGACAGCAACAATGCACGCCGTCCACCATCAAATTCACGAACTGCGCATTCGGCTGTGGCCTGATTTGCCGCAAACAGAACGTGCGGAAATGCTTCTTTAATGATGAACGGATCACGATCCTCAAATGGAAATCCGTCAACTGTATCTGGCACAGTAGGCGCCAAATGCTGCCACAAGAGGGTGCGTTCCAACAGATCTATACTGGTTGCGTTGACCGTGAAACGCTTCAGATCCGATAAAGGGCATCCTGAATGATAAGCAATGAGAAACTCGGAGAATCTCGAACTCACATCTTGATCAATTAGCCTTGAAATTGGAAAAATCCGATAGCAACAAGCATATTGGCACAGTGTCATTTAGTGACATTTCATTTCATTGCAAAATTCTACAAATAACTATTCCAGAAAGCCAAATGAGGGCGAAAATTCAGTATTCCTGTGAACGGGGAATACAAAACCATCCAAATATCGGTACAATGTTGATGAAAGCGAACCTGAACTGCCCAAAAAGTTGACACCTTCGACAGAGAAATTATACGGATTGGTGACTAAGTTCAACATTTTCCCATGATATGATGCATGTGGAAATACGGCACGATGAATCGGTTGTTGAGGCAGCAGATGTGTAGCTGGATCGCCTAGACCCGGCATCACGTCCACTTCAATCATATTCTGAAGATATTTTCAAAAAATTTCAAAAAATGCGACTACAGCCAAAAATTGAGCGAATTTGATCAGTGTAATTTACTGTTTTTTTAAATACTTATGGTGGACCACGTCACAGAATTATACAGCATTCCATCACTCCAACCTTTTTATTATAAACAGCACGATAAAATAATAGGAACTATAATATCATAATTTTGCACGTTCAAGTTTTTGAAATCCAAAGAGAACTGAAAAAAAATATATAGTCTAACCGAAACTTTGGATAAGAATTTGTCCATATTTGCAGCACATGCCACATTTGGGCACTCCTCATTCTTGACCAAGTAGCGAGCTGCTGTCGTGAATTCTCGAGCCTTCAATGTACAAAAAAAAANTCAACATACTATCATGTGAAGAATTTTTTGGGTCAACGAAAACACCTACTACCTTTACGTTCAGTTCAACACGACTTGCAAGTGATGTTCAATTTAATCATCACAAGTTATGATCATCTTAGAAAAGTACATGAAAAGAATGGAGAAGTTGAATACGTTAATAATGAGCAAATCTTCATGCAAAATATATCACATGGCATCAGACCTTTTCGGAGAGTGGTAACAATCCACTGAGCCATTTCTGAAGAATGTCTAATGCGAACAAACGATCAGCTTCCTTTTCGGGTTCCTGTGAAAACGACAGGCCAGAAACGAACATAACGTACCTTAAACGAATTCAACAATTACACACATCGGGATTCCATCCGGAAGTAAATTACAATCACATTCACAGCTGCTTGAAATCAATTACAAAATAAATTCATTGGCTTTTAGGAAATTTTCGAAAACTGAGTGAAGATTTTCTCAAAATTAGAAATCGAGCGAATAACTAGACTGGTCACTTACTTATCCGATTCAATCTCAGGAAATGGTGGTTGCACGGCCATTTTCGGCCAAATAATTCGATCCACTCGAAAAATATCATCTTTGAGTTGCCTTCCAATCAGTCCAATGACACATCCTGTAGCCACATCATCCACACCGATGTCACCGCTTAAACGCACTATCTGGTCTTCATCTTCGAATTCCAAGTAATCTTTCTCTGAGACCAAGCTGAAATTGAACTTCCTTCTTGACTTTCAGCTCCACAATGCTGGAAACTCGTTAACTGAACGCAGCTGATGGATCACTGAGCTATAGTGCAAATAAGTGGAAGTAGATGAATTTTGTTGAACTGATGTGAGAAAATGAGTTTTCATTTCAAAGAAATGAATGGAGGAATGAATAGAACAAAAGTTGTGATTCAATTACGAGTGTTGTCTGATCGATTAGCGATCATCTCAACGATTTTAAGCATGGAGAGTCGACTGAAAATCGACTAACGTATTTTCATCGACTGGCTCAGGTAGGATGAGTTGTTCATCGGCGAGATCGCGGAGTACCGAAGGTCTGAGTTTTACACGTTTTGCCACTACGCCGATTACGAATGATGAATCAGTTTTGGAGGCCTGCGTCAAACGGCATGGTTCCATGTGCTCACCTTAAATGGAAACTAAGTAACAGTGAACATTTCACAATCCTAGAATCGAAATCAGCGCAAATCACAATCTTCGTAAATGTATATCAAACAGAAACGTCAGGGTTCATCGACTCAAAAGTCTCGAAGCACATTTCCAAATTTTTCTATTCGAAGTATTTAGAATTCCACAACGTTGATGCGGGATATCCGCCCAAACTGTCATCAATCGTACGGAATTACTGCTCGGAATTCAGCTGGGCGTAGAAATACCAAAACCTAATGAAGACCGCATCAGACAGTGAAAATAAATGTTTAAAAAAACTGTTTACCGAGTTGCTGCTTCGCAGCCGCGATGATTCTCGGCCGCATTAAACGGATTCTGGCTCGATACGATTTATAATATTGCCTATGAAAACAGTTATCTTGCTGATCATTTTCGGTGATTATGAACCTTTCCGATAAATTTTTGTAGTCGACTGATTCTCTCGTGAGCTGAACCATCTGAAAATAGATTAAAAATAGAAGATCTCACTCAGTTTCTGAAATAAAAAAAACACCCAAGTGCTGAACAAGTGCAGGAATTCTTGAACAAGTTAATAACCCGTCACTTCTTCATTTTTACGTTATCTGAGTAATGTTATCGACCTGATGATGTATTAATATCGAACTATCGAAAGGTTTTAATAGTGAAGGATTAAAAATACCACAATTTAAAGAGTCTTAATTTTCAATATTCCCGCTGCAGATATTACTATTATTCTGCATCAAACCTAGAGAGCTTTTCACGCATTCTGAATCTGGAAAAAACCCATTTCCTGACCCCAACAATGTATGGAAAATTGCTATGTCGTTACTTACTTAAAATTGTAATATAAAATTCAAATTCACTGCTAAACAGACACCTATCAGAATAATCGCTCGTTTGGCAAACTGTCGAATGCTGAAAAGTAAAGAAGGCGTCAAACCTATCTTTCATATGTTGATTTAGATTTCAACTTGCTAAGAGATATTTGGTTGAAACAAACACGAATCCACTCGACTGGCGAGGCTGATTTGAGTGTTGCAGACTGTTTCTGCTTTTGAGTGCAGGTAGTTGTCGAAAATTTGAAAATGCGCCTAGACCACCGACTGCAGTTAGTGATGCGAGTGAGGTGGCTGATCAGAATTGGACAGTATTGGCTCCAGTTATTGCAAGATATAGCTATTGATCCACCGATTCCGCACCGGTTGGCCTAGCAGCACATTGCACTTTTGGAGTCAGCAGTCCATCTGCTTGGCTATCGAAACGGTACAAGGAATCGCCGCGTTGAATATACACAAGATCTCAATATACACAATATACACAAGTAATCCATTGCACATCACTGATATTATTCGTAAAAATCTTGGATGAGATTTTCATGACTGATTATAAACTGGTGCGTACGCACTTAGCCATATGCGCGTGTCGCCGAAAAACGCTTCGTAAATGCGCACAAA